GTCTTCACAAATTGAGACCACTCAAGTAATTCTTCCCATTTAAGCAATAGGAAGGTTGCATATTTTAGAGATATTCTCTTCATTGGTGCACCATAGAGTCCTTCATAGAGCTTTGAGAGGAATTAGCTTCAGACATTCTGATGGAAAAGGATTGCGATGAAGGCTATGTTAATTAAGCTAGTAATGTGCAGAGCAGCAATGAAGGTTGCTTTGGTTATAAGAGTTAGTAGTAATAACAAGAGAAGGCTGGCAATGAAGGCTGTTTTTTCCTCTCCGCTTCTTTCTCTTTAGTCTTTGAAGGAGAATGACAATGAAGTCCGGTGGTGGAACTCACGGATTATCTCTTTAGGCTCGGATATCATATTAAATTTAGAGAATTGGAGAGAGAAAATGTTTAATTTTATTGATCAAACATGTCCCATTTATAGATCTATATAAAATATTTTAATAAAGAAACAAATAATTACATAATCATACATAATTGCTCTAATATAATCCTTCCTAAATCAGCCACCTAAATATAAAAGGAAATTGGTGCAATCCAGGTGAGCCTCCTACTGATCCCCATCTTAGCCGTGGGTTCAAAATGCCAAGGGACGGCGGAGATCGGCACAATCTAGGCGAGTCTCCCATGGATTCCCATCCTAGTTGTGGGATCAAAATGCCAAGGGACAATTGGGATTTAACAGTATCTATAGCCTTGAGTTGAAGCTGTGGGCGAAGGACCTTTATACAAGAGTGGATAATATGTGATGGAGCTACGATAATGTGATATGGGAAATGAATGTTTGTTATGTTTTGCAGAATTATAGTAAGTACAGGAAAATTGTAGATTGGGTTTACTTATATTTTATTATGAGCTTTAAAGAGACATGTATGGTGGTGGGGGTGGCCTGGCCTACCATGCCATTTGGTGATGGCAAAGAGAGTGGACAGAAGTGCTCGCTGGAAGATTGCTGGAACACTTTGGTGGAGCATGAAACCGGATAAAGACTGCTATGAGATATACCTGAAAGAATGGTTTTGCATGTCTTCAGGCCTGAATGTGATAGTCGTTAGTAAGGTGGTTGATAGAGATAAGATTATTGGGATTTGGAAGATTTGAGAAAGTTGGAAGAAACAGAGAGAAGAAACATAGATTCAGTAAATGGAGAGAATAGACGGTATCACTTAGCGCAATATCATGAAAAAGAAACAAAATAATGTGATCAAATGGTCAGTTTCTGTAACAATAATATTTAGTTGCAGAACCAAAATATCTTCCTTTTTTCCAATATTATCTCATTGCTGTTAAAAATTATAATTTTTTTTACTGCAAAGGCATCTAAAGCATTTGTTTTCCTTACTTCTATGCAGTGACTTTTATAATATTTGACAAATGCTGGATATGACATGTGTTCAACGCATATCTAAAATGTTTCATGTGTTCTATTATATTTCAAATACACGTGTTGTTGGTTAAGTGACATAATAATAATAAGAATGAAGGAATTATGGATAGTCAAATGGTAATAAAAGGCTTTTAGTTTTAAAAGATACAACTAAAATATGCCGTTTACAATGAACTTTTTTTAAAATACTTTTTTTCCTAATGCCAAATTTTATTATTTGCAGAACAAAATAAAGCTTTATATAAATTATCTTGCTGCAATTTTTTATTTATTTTGTATTTTTATTATATCATTTTTTTAAAATATAATTACAACAACAACATCAAGCCTTTGCCCCACTACGTGGGATCGGCTACATGAATTCTTTTTCGCCATTGTGTTCGATTAAAAGTCAACATCTCATTTAAATCAAATAAAGAAAGGTCATTTCTAATATTTTCTAACCAAGTCTTTTTTAGGTCTACATATATCTTTCTTAACATAAGTCAAATCTAATATCTCAACTTTCCTAATTGGGTCATCGAAAGGCCTCCGTTTAATGTGACCAAATCATCTAAGACAACTCTCTCTAATCTTATCTTCCACTGGAGCTAATCTTATCTTCCTCCGTATATGCTCATTTCGTATCCTATCTCTAAGGTTCAAGCCACTCAGCCACCTAAGCATCCTCATCTTTGCAACACTTAGTATTATGCTTCTCTTTTAATGGCCAACATTCAACACCATAAAGCATTGCATGTCTCACCACCATCTTATAGAATTTTGCTTTAAGTTTGAGGGGAACTTTTCTATCGCACAATAAGCCCGATACATTTCTCCACTTCAACCATCCAACTTGAATTCTGCTGATAATATCCCTATCAATTTCACCATCACTCTGAACAATAGATCCAAGATATCTAAAACGTGTACTCTTATTAATGATTTGACCACCCAAAGTCACAATCCCCTTACTAGGTCTATTGCTACTAAAATTACACTCTAGATATTCAGTTTTAGATCTACTCAAGCGAAAATCTTTAGACTCTAAAGTTGACATCCATAATTCAAGTTTACTTTCAACTCCCTCTCTAGTCTTATCAACAAGAAGAATATCATCAGAAAAAAGTATACACCAAGGTACATCCTCTTGCAAATGTCCAGTGAGAACATCCATGACTAAATAAAAAAGATATGGACTTAAGGTTGATCCTTGATGTAATCCAACCGAAATAGGAAAATACTTGGTCAAACCACCTTGTGTTTGAACGCAAGTAATTGCTCTTACATGCATATCTTTAATGATTTGAATATAAGCATTATTAACTTCTTTCTTTTCAAGAACTCTCCATAGCACTTCTCTTGTAACTTTATCATATGCTTTCCCTAAATCAATAAATATAATATGTAAATCATTCTTATTTTCTCTATATTTCTCCATCAAACCTCTCAATAAATGTATGGCTTCCGTAGTTGACCTACCCGACATGAATCCAAATTGATTTTGAGAAACATTAGTATCACGCCGCAACCTATGCCCCATCGCTCCCATAGTTTTAAAGTATGACACATTAACTTAATTCCTCTATAATTCGCACATTCATGTGCATCACCTTTATTCTTAAAAATAGGAATTAACACACCCATTCTCCACTGATCTGACATCTTTTTAGTATTCAAAACAGTATTAAAAAGTTTAGTAAGCCAAAAAATTCCTTCATCTTCTAAGTATTTCCACACTTCATTTTCTTTAAAGCCTCTCTAACATCGGTTTTACTTATACGCCGATAAAAACACAAATCTTTATTTTCATTTAGGGTGATAAAGTCACTAAAGTCAATCGTATTGTCACATTTTTCATTAAAAAATTTAACAAAATACCTCATCTATCTTTGTTGATTATCATCTTCTAAGAAAAGTACTTTTTAATCTTCATCCTTAATACACTTCACTTGAACTAAATCCTTACTAATACTATATCTTTGTTTGACTAATTTATACATATATCTTTCTCGCTCATTAGTATCTAATCTATTATATAAATCATTAAAAGGTAAGCTTTTTTGCATTGCAAATATCTTTTTTAGATTCCTTACGAGCCTCTTTATAACTTTTTCAATTATCAGAATTTTTACATCTAAATTAATTTTTTAAACAAATCTTCTTATTTTTTATTTTTTCTTGCACATTTGGATTCCACTACCAACTATTTTTACTATTAGGAGTCTTTCCCTTTGAAACTTTAAGCACATCTTTTGTAATATTTTTAATATCACAAGTCACTTTTTCTCATGTAATATTGACATCCTCATGCGCAGATAGAATCTTAAGATCTAAAATCTTACTATCAAAAATACTTTTGTTAATATTCTTTAAATGCTCTCATCTAATCCTAGAAAATCATTTTACTTTATTTTTTATTTTTCTCCCCTTTATTTTAAAGTCCAAAATTAACAATCGACGTTGGGTAAATAAATTTTTACTCAGAATAACTTTACAATCTTTGCAATCTAAATGATTTAATTTTCTTATAAGAAAATAATCAATTTGCATTTTACTGTATTCATTTTTATAAGTGTTAAGATGCTCATCTCTTTTCTTAAATAAGATATTAGATATTAAGAAATTATAAACTAAAGAAAAATTTAATATAGTCTTACCACACTCATTTGTCGTTCTAAACCCATGGCCACCATGGTTGTTTTTAAAATCATTTACCTCTCTACCAACATGTCCATTAAAATTTCCTCCAATAAAAACGTTTTTTTCAAGAGTTATATTTTGTATTAATTCTTCTAAGTTATTCTAAAATTTTAATTTTGAACTCATATCCAAATATACTTGAGAAGCACAAACACTTATAATATTAACAATCTTAGCATCAACAAAAATCTTTAAAGCTATAATTCTATCTCCAATTCTGTTAATTTTTATAACATTATTCTTCAAACTCTTATCTATAATACACATACACAATTTCTAGTAGGACTCCTACCCAAATACCATAGTTTATATCATAAACTATTAATCTCCTTAGCTTTCTCTCCAACTCATTTAGTTTTTTGAATGCACAAAATATTTATCTTATTATGAATCATAATATCTATTTATTCAATTAATTTTCATGTAAGGGAGCATATATTCCAAGTTTCTAATTTTAGTTTCATGGATTAGCCTTGCCTATTTAACACTGCACCCGGGCGCCGGTGCAACGGCCCTTGCAGCGTGTCGCTTCCAGGGACGTCCTAGCATTAACACAAGTTTTTAAAGGATTCATGTCATATGATTATTCGACAAGTTTTATGCTTATTGTCGACTACCTAACGCAACCATTCACTTTTCTCCTCCAGGACTTGGGACATGGCAACATCAATGTTATTTTTTTTAAATATTATTGACATGAAAAATAAATGTGTTCTATGATTAATTATTCTATGCGGACACCAAACACCGTCCAGAGATTCACTAAAATTCGCCATGTCTTTCCTATGCTTGGTATCACTAACGTGGCGCATTATGGTTGGTCTCCGGGGTTCTGTGTCTGATCTCCGCACATAATAATTTGTTATTGATAGCCTTAAAATTCATTTTATGTCAAAATGTGTATTCAAGTAGAATCTTATTTTCAAGGTTGCGAGCTGGAGCAGTTACATCGGTGCTACCACTTGTTTGAAATGGGCTCCTCGTCGGGCTATGTTTGCAGCTGCTTCATCAGTCCTTACATTTTGGATACCAAATGTGTCAAAGTTAAATAACACCACCAGCACTGAAGTTTCTACAGCTTAATTTTCAGAGGGATAAGAAGTTTTTCTTTGTTTCTCCTTTTGAAATCTGCAGGTTAACTTCTGCTGCAACCAGGTTCCAGCTTTTATTTGATTTTCCATAGTTATTTGGCCTACCAACTGAATTATTCTTACATGTTTGTGAGTTTTTCTTTTTTGGAAGCATCATCAAATCATGTTTTTCTGTTAATGATGATGATTACGGTGCTTATTAAGGGAGGTGTCGAGCTCGAATAATTTTTTTATTGAGCTTGAGTTTGACTAATTAATCGAGTTCAATCTGTGAACAGCTCATTTATTTATTATGAAAAAGAAAGATAATTTTGTTTCAAACCATTATTTTCATAAAAATAAGAATGAGAAATTAGAGTATAAGTATTGAGAAATTACATGACTAATTAATGTTTCAAACCATTATGATAGTATAAGGTTTCTGTGGACATTAATTAAGCCTAAGATGAGAAAGTTTCTATTGAATTGTACATAGAAAATTTATAATTTTTTGAATTATAGAAATCTTATTTAATAAGATTTTTAAATTTAGTAATAATGAATAATCAAACTTGTATTTGAAATTATCTTATTCTATTTTCATAATTTTTATATTATAAATCATTGGAAAATCATATAAAGAGGTAATGCATAAATAAAATTAGGAAAAGCATTTAACCATCTATTTTAAGGGATAAATCATCTATTTATTATGACACATTTTTCCGAAGTAAATTATAATTTTTTAGAGACTGTATGTGGCTAAGAAGTAAGGAAAAGCTACTTCTCGACTTGCGCGTATTTCGAATTTGTCATATGAAATTTATAATATATATTCCTCCCGCGAGACTCACGTTCGAGCCCCTAACGTCCGAATTTGTCATATGAAATTTATAATATATATTCCTCCCGCGAGACTCACGTTCGAGCCCCTAAAAAAAAAAATAAAATAAAATAAAATAATTATAATATATGGAAAAATATGGATAATGATAAGTTATTACATCTTTCTAAACTAAAACATCTATTTCAATGAATTGATTGATGTGTTTTTTTTGAACATTTAGATTAATTATGATAAATTCATGCACACATAAAATATGTAAGACTAAAAATTCAAGATCTTTTGATTGATAGTTAAAGTTCTCAATCAACAGATTAAGATGAGGTTTAGGGTTTAGGGTTTAGGGTTTAGGCTGTGTATTGATGTATTTTTTTAGTTTTTATAAAATATATTTTGTTTTTTTTTTATAGAAAATAGTTTTCATAAATATCATTAATAGAAGGTAGGCATCACACTTTTATGATCAAATTATGATTGAATGATGTGTAAAACAATCAACAACGTAATCAATTTGCATAACTATAGGTGATTAATTTTATTTGAGACAATTTTCTTATTGATTTGAATCACAAACACAATTTTTATATGGTAATTATTTTTTTGCTGCATTCAAAATTATTTTGCATTAAAAAATTATTTCTTACAATAGTTTTAAAAATGTATTTCTCTACAACAGCTTTAAAAAAAAAAAGAAAATCATCCGAAATGAAAATTAAAACAATCAACAATGATTGTTTGGTGCTTCTGTGCATCATTGTTGCTGTTGATGTTGATGTTGATGTTGATTTTGAACGCATGAATGTATTGTTTGATAATAGATCAAAGTTTTAATGATTAACTTGTCTAGTGGCTGAGCCTGCAATTTTCTTTAATGGGGGCACAATTTTTTAAAAAATTCTCTAAATTTTCTTATTCATATTTGAGGTCAAACAATGGCGGTTTAAAGTTTTTTTGGTTAATAATTATTATTTAAAAAAGTTTAAAAAATAAGATAAAACTCAAGTTATTTTGAATTTTATGATAAAATATAGTTTTATTTTACATTTATTTATTTCTTTTTAATTACGCTCCTATCTTTTACTAACTCTTAAAATATAATCGATCTTAAAATTTTACCTCCATGCTTTCTCTAACAAGCTTCACAACCATCTGACTTCCTCACTGCTTTATTTTTCTCTTCTTGGTCCTTAAGGTATATATCAAAATCTTAAACTTTAATTAATCACGACTTTCTCAAATATCTCTTCCTCACTTCCTCTCTTTCTTCCAAACTTGAACAAGTAGAAGTTCACAAAGAAGGAAATGGTGCAAGCAAGTTGGTAAATTGTTTCTTCTTCCACAGCAAAACTCAAGTGCTATTCCTGTACTCCCAGTTTTTCACAACATACTCCAGGCCCCTTATTCTGTCCGACACCGGACAAGAGAACCATTCGGTACCGCTTGGTACCGAGCGAGGTACACTTTTGGGGTGATGTGACGCATTTTTATTGGCCTCTGGACGATTTCCGGACTCCGCACAGAATAATTTACGCCCCACATAAATCCGCCATTGAGCTTGTCATAATTTTTTTTTTGGAAAAACTTGAGAGACGGTTGTCATCAAAATTCTGAAATTAAAATAACTTTGAGAAAGTTATTTTAAGATTGTTTGCTCATAAATTTACTAAACGAGAGTAGAATAAGGCACCAATTCTTCACTAAATTTAAATTATATTTATATGCGAGCTCTTTGTTGATATGCATGTTTAATTAGATATGAACTTTTATTATTAAAATAATTTCCTCATTAATTTTTTTTGGATGCTCAATTGCTTTGCTCAAGAACATATTTTTTCAGACCTTCTAATCACCTTTAAATAAACCCAATAAGAATAACTTTCACACCAAAGAAAATCTTATAAAGGTGGCATTAGTTGAATAAATCAGAAGAATGAGTAGACAAAGGGCCTATTTGGGATGATTGAAATTTTTTTTATGAGTTTGATTGTAGCGTTGTTGTGGAGAAAATAATTTAGCTACTTTGATTGTTAAAAATAGTTTTTCATCATAAATTTTTAAAAATAGTGAAAAAATAATAAATTATTAGCCAATTGAAATTGTAGTTAATGCTTGATAAGCAAAGCTGAGAAAGTTGTCTCGAGTACTCTAAATGCAAATTTTAACTGGAGATACAATCCTTTTTTTTTCAATTATACTTTGGCTTCGTTTTGGACAGCTTTTTTACTGTTTCTTAAAACAACTCTTTAGTACAATTTTGTACAAAAAAGCTGTTTTTAGAAGCAGAAAGAAAGCTGTCCCAAATGAAGCCTTTGACATAAAAAATACAAAAATCTTGAGAATAGAAAAGTAATTTTACTTCCAAACCACAATGATTTTCATAAGAAAATAAGTATACTCTGAGCTTATTTTTTAAATTCAGATTCTATGATTCTTGTGATTATTTCACCATCTTCTTTTCACTAGAAATTATATTGATAACCTTAGGATGACTTACTAGAAAAGTCTTCTGGATTATGAAGATAGCATGCCAACAAAGCTATAAAATATGTCACATAGTTATGAAGATAGCATGCAATGCAAAAGATATCAATGGATGATAAAATGAAATGGAAGAGACAGTAATGATGTTAGTTAAAGGGTTAGAAATGAAACCTTGTGGATATTGAGGAGTGAGCAACGAAGTTTTAAACACTAAAGGGAGATATCAAAATACAAATTATCATAGAAGTTGGGTATTTTTTTGGCTACTCATAATCTAAATTCTTAGAGGAAAATTTAAATAATATCTACCCAAAAACTATTAATATGAACAATAGTGAAATTGACTTAGATTCTTCACAATCTAGTCAATCAAATCATTGGGAACATGGCCTTAATCTTGCCTTTAGAATATATGCAATAACAAAGAGGACAGAGATCTCTGACTAACATTTTCAAAAAGCAAGAGGGTATAAGTGGGGAGAAAATTAAGGAAAGGGAGTGAATTTGTGTGTGTGTGTGTGTGAGAGAGAGAGAGAGAGAGAGAGAGAGAGAGAGAGAGAGTATTGGGTTCAAGTTTTACATTTGTGATGTGTACGTGAATTTATCTTAAATGACCTAAATCAGCATGCCTAGTCACGTGGGATTTATTTTTAAAAGACATGCACCTATATCTAATGAATTTTCTTTGTCCCTTCTTATGGGCATAAGTGATGTACAATAATACTTGACTATCTTGATATTTTATAAATAATCCTTTTCTTATTGTAGAATATTTCAATATGTCATGTATTGAAGAAAAGTTGTTATAATGAATTTATGATTGATGTAATATGATGAAGGAATATAGAAATAGAAATTCTTGTATGAGCTAAATTTTAAACAACCTCATGGAGAATATAAATTGGTGTTCTATCATCTATATAGCTTCATTCAATAAATTAATGATAATAGCATATATTTTGACCTAAATAAATAATTATTTTTTGAGTTATTATAAGTCAAATTTGAAAATCATCTTTTTCTTAAGATAGATATTATTGTGTTTTAATTATAATAAATTTTTTATAATTTTTTGGCACAAGTGCAAATTCTTAAGAAATTAATACTTGTTAGTACAAGTGGAGATTTTGGGATCGCTAAATGTCTATTTTGCAAATCGATTTCAGCAGTATTTTTTAAATTAAATGAGTTAATTTATTAATATTTTCTATAATTTTTAAAGTCTTAAAGTGATTTATATAATTTATAAATTATTATATCTATTAAATCATATTCTAATTTAGTTTAACAAAGAGGAAGAGGGTGGATTTGAGAAGAAAAAGAGAGGTGAGAAGAGAGAGTAATTTGGAGGCTATAGAGCAATTTTCCTTTGTCAATTCTGTTTGGAGATTTGCTTGTCTCGCTGTAAAGAATCCTTATCATATTTCTGATTTCAATAATTTATGTTTTTGATATTTTTTCGATCAAATTTGTATTTCCGTTACTGAAAAATGAGGATAATTTTGTATTGATAAAACTTTCATTGCATAACTTTTGTAATGTGATAGATCTCATTACTATGATCATTTTGACCGGAACATATTGAATTTCAATGGTTAAATTAAAAGTTATGATTTTTTGAAGTAAATGCACAATAGACAATTCTTCTAAAATTAATCTTTGGGCATTACATCAACATCCCACTTGATTCCAAGTTGAATTTATTATGATTCAGAATAAATTTTCATATACGCATTATTATTATAAAAAAATAAAAAAAAAAATATGCATTATTATCATGACCAACCGCCACTTCATTTTCCAAATGAAGTTTAGAATTCTCATGTGTTTAAATAATTTA